AGGTAGCTGCAGAGGGGCAGCGCGCACTGCAAAAGCCCCTGGCCCAGCTGGAGCCTCACGACCCCTTCGTGGATGTCCGGGGCCAGAGACGTAGCCTTCTGCGTGAGCAGCATGATGGCAGAGAGGGCGATGGCTGGCCTGGAAGGAGAGGGCACCTGAGAGCTGCTGAGAGTCCCTTGAAGGCAGCGTTAGAGGCACTGGCACAAGGCTGCACATGGGGGATGTGCTGTCCCACATCGCCAGAGCGCTGCCATGCCCGCAGCATCGCCCACACATGGGGATGCAGCCGGAGCCAGAGTGGAGATTGACGGCTGTGGAACAGCAAGCCAGTTTGGCCCGGGGGGCCCTCCACCCTCACAAAATGACCGGGAGCCCACTGAGGGGAGGAGCAGGAAGGAGGCAGAGCTGGGGTGTTACCTGGCATCCTGTGGGTCCAGCTCCTGGCTGCTCAGACCCCGGTGGCAGAGTGTCTGCCAGGACATCTGGAGGGCGAAGACCCAGGTGTGGGCACAAGCTGCGCTGATGGAGAGGAGGACGAGCACAGAGCCAGCAGCAGAGATGAGGAGCAACATGGCGTAGCTGCCCATGGCTGTGCCAGCAAAGAGACATCCTCCAGTGAGGAGGAATATGTACCTAGAAGAGACCAGATGCCCTTTGGCTGCCTTTTGGGGAAAATGGGGCTTGAAACTCCCACCACAGTGCTGGTAGCGGAGCTTAGTCTGGGTCCTGCAGCCTCCACAGTCCCCCTGTAGTCTGCCTCTTGGCCTCTCATGGGGCTGAGGGAACACCAGGGCCATCACGGCTGCAAGCAGGAAGGGGGGCACTGGAGCAGATATTGCTGGCCCTGCCTGGCCCTCATCCTAATCACACCAGAGATAGTCCCCATTCCCACAGCAGGACCTCCCCTTGCCCATGTGCTCATCCTGGTACACCCCTAAACACACCTCTCACAACACCAGAGTGTCCGGCCTGGCTGTTTTGTCCTTAATGACTTTGATCTGGCCCCACTGCAGAGAGAGGGGACTGGCGACAGCTCATGTCCAAGCCATACAAATGTCCCTACCTGAGTCAGCGAGGACTTGCTACCATGCGTCACACTGCACCTCTGGCCAGGAGAGCCCCCGGAAAGCATCCACAGGCATGACCGCCCCTCAGCGCAGCAGCAGGGGTGATGAGCACGTACCAGGCAGTCAGAGAGAGGCGCCCTGAAGCACAGAGGTGGTGGAAGAGAGCAGCAAAGGGGAAAGCTGCCAGCCGGTACAGGGCTGCAGGGAGAAGGACAAGCAGGTCTGCCCAGCACATTGAGCCCCTTGCTTCTTCAACTGCCTCTGATGCCTGGAGAAAGGACTGAGCCAAGGGCTGTTCTGGTTCCTCTTTATACACGGCAGGACCTCAAAAAACCAGAGCAGAGCCAAGGAAACAGAGGTATCTGCAGGAAGAGGAGCATGTTTTTTGCATTTGTCAGTGCTGGCTTCTTAAAGCACCTCTGTCCCAAGGTTTGTGTGTAGGTGGAAAAAGCTGGGGTTGGTTATTTGCTCTGCCAGACGCCTGGACCATTACCACATACTTCAAAGGCAGCAAGAGCGAGCTGCCGAGATAAGAGCCTCTTTGAGCTGCCTCATGTGCCGCGCTGGGATGCACCTCAGAGCAAAATCCCCAGATACTCCCAGAGGCTTGGTCCTTTCTCTTTGCTGCCTCTCAGCTCAGTCCTTCACAGAAAGCTGTGGCTTTTCCCCGGCTCTGGCCTCACTTCTTATGGGGTAGCAGTGGGGACGTCCCAGTATTTAAACCCCTAGTGACAGAAAGGAGAGGATGGGTTCTGCTACTTCTCAGTGATGAGGGAGGGTGAGCCCCTCAGCCCCACCACTCAGACCAAGCTACAGGGCCTTTTCATTTACGAGAGATAAAGGAATAGCTCTATTCTCTCCAAACAATTTTTCTTCAAGACAATAAAGAAAAAGAAAAAAAAATGGACTTACAGAGATACTTCTGATGGTAGAAATTAGTCATTGCAGTTAAACTGTTTAAACTGCGCATTCATTCAAATATGTGTCCTATGAGAAAGCAAAAGATCCTCTTTTGGGCCAGACTGGAAAGGTGATTTGAAGAGTGATCTCTAGGGTGACATGGAGCCAGCTGCTATTGCTCGCATAATGCCACCAGCAGTATTTCATGCTAAACAGACAAAAAAAGCCCACGAAAATCAGTCTACAGGACTTGACTCTTCTTTGTGAGATACAGCTAAGAAAAAAACAAATTCAAATGGAAAGCTCATGGATTTTTTTTTTTTTAAACTCGGTTGGTATCTGCTTTATTTTAGGCATATGAACAGTGTGAAGGCAAAGAGGAATACCACGGAATTTCCTTCTGGAAGAAAAAAAAATAACACATTGGAGGGGTAGAAGAAGTAAGGTTTTCCCCTTCCTTTGACGAATGCTTCAAAATATTTAGATTAGTCTGTTTTTCAATAAAAAGAGCAAAATAGGTGCCTAAAGTTACAGAAAGATCTGTGCTCATTAAAAACAGAAATTTTTATTTTTAAAATGTATCGTCCGACTTTTATGAATGTTTCTACTCTTCACTGAGCTTTTCAAGCTACCGTGATGTTCGAAAGCTTACCCCATTGTTTGGATGGGTTATTTGGTTATAAGAAGGTGGGGGACCAAAACCCCATGGAAAAAAATATTAGAGCAAATGCTGCAGAGAAATGGGCTGTATTTTGCTGTATTTGTGCAGGGTATATTTTAAGAGCAAGCGATAGCACTGGAGAAAAGCTTTTTCCATGTCGATTTTGGCATGGCATGCAGCAACAGCCTGGTTTCACAGGACTCATTCTGCCATATCCATGGAGCCCAGTATTGACTTTGCTGAGTAAGTATTTTTGAAGGCCTTTGCAGTGCCTGTTAAAGCAATTCCCTGCTATAGTTCTGCAAAAATGCCATTGCTTTTCAAGCAGCAGAAATGAATTTCCACAGTAGCATTGGAAATGTTAACACACTGCTCGTGCCTCTCATTTTACACCACCAGGTGCTGGGCGGTGGAAGCATGATCTTAGACCGAGCACGTAAGCCATAGTGAAGCATGTGAGAGCACTTTATTTGCTTCACTTCCATCTACTAAACAAGCCACAGCCCAGTTCCTGGCTAAAGAATTAATTGTTTGGTAACACAGCAGGAGAGAAGAGGAGGCTGACCACCATCAGAGCAAACTCTGAGCATGAAATTCAAGCAGATATGACTCTGATACTAGCTTTGGGCTAGTATCCAGAAAGTTTATAGTTGCTTTCTTGGTGGAATATAGTGCTGTTTTGGGAACAGTTTTGGTTGCCTATTGTAATGCAGCTTATACTGATCTGCTGCAGGACACGCTGCAAAGTGAAAGACTGAAAGCAAGAAAAAGTTAAAGAAAAAGTCAGACTGACACAGTTTGTCTTTTTTCCAGAGAAAAGCACATAAATGGGAAGGGAGGCCATTAAATAGGGTTCAGGAGGCCTGGACTGAGCTCCTGTCTCAGACTTTCTCTGTGACTTTAGGAAAGCCGCTTAACTCCCATCCACAAAACAGAGATGATAGTTTCTGTCTCCCTGTGGTGTTATAAGGCAGAATCAACACAAACCTTGGGACTTTACGTTTGGCTGTGATGGGCAGGACATGAAAGTACCTAAATGAGAAAGGAATTAATGCAATGGTTTATTAAAACACAAAACTGCAAAAATCCTTCCTTTATTTTCAGGCACCAGTCCCACGCTGGCTTTTTGCTACTTGTTGCCATTACAGATTTGCTGACCGCTGCCTGTAAATGGCCCACTGCTGCTTGTGGCAAAGGCTTTTTTGTCTCCCTGGATAAATGGCCACATATCAGTAGTTTAAGGATAGTGCGGAAGTCTCTTATCGCAGCTGTGACCCCACTCATGGAGGGCTGAAGTTGTGCCTGGGAAGGGGGGGAGGAAAGACATTTCCATAAATTCTCGTGTAATTTTTTATATCTTCTGTGCTTCTCAATACCCAAATCAGTAATTAAAAGTGTATGTTAATGGGCAATAAATTAAATTAAGTGAAATTTCTGCAAGTCACTTTTTTGGCTGCAATACGGGCTTGCAGCTCTTGAGCTCAGCCACGTCAGCTGAACTTGGTGCGGGTGAGGGGCCAGCCCTGTGCCCTTCCTGGTGCCAGCAGTGGCAAAAGACGTGATTTATTTTCAAGGCAGAATCCTGTTAGGAACTCCTTTCTCTCTTTTGGTGTTGAGACCAAGGCCAGATGGACACAGATCCTCTTGTACCTCCTAAGGTTTTGGGACATTTAGAACAGGGACTGACATCACTGGAGGCCATCGCCTGTGCTTGTTCCCCTCAACCTCACCAACAGAGCTCCTGAGACAAGAGACAAGCTACTGTGCAGCTCCAAGGACCATGCACAGTAGCCAGTGATGGGGAAAAAAGGTCTAGGGCTGCACGCTGTTCCCCTTCCATCCCCTTTCACATGATACGCAAGCCCTGCAGAGAGCCAGTTCTTGTCCTGGCATCTCCTTTTGGAGATGGCAGGAGCAGCTACAGCTTTTCTGATCCTTGTTATGAAGCCAGCAGATCAACTGGTGCTTTGCCTCAGTGATAAAGTACCTGGGTATGATCCGCATTGCCACTGGCTGCTATGGATGTCCTAAGATGTCCTAACACACGCAGGACAATCCTGATTCCTTTGTGGCTGAGTTTTTTTCCCTTTAGCCTTCACAAAGAATAGACACTAACATATGCTGAAGAAGCAGAGTTGCTTCTTAGCAGAAAACACAGCACAGGGGTGAACCAGCAGCACAATAATGGGATGGGATGTGCCGGAGGGGTGGAGCTGCCCTGCAGGCAAAGGGAAGATGCCAGGAACAACCCAGACTTTCCAGCACACTCAGGTAGCCCCAGCGTGCAGGGCATCCCAGAACCGGCATTGCTGCTCTGGGACTGCTGCTCAGAGCTATCTCCCCAAGATGGGTGCCGCCCCTCCCATGCTCTTCAGAGCCTGTAGTGCAAGGCCGTAGGGTAAATCACAGTGGTGATATTTTTCTCTCTCAGTATCAGGATGATCTGAGCTGCCAGAGAATGGGTGAAGAGGCTGGAATCCTTCTCCAAGCCTTGAAGAACCAAGGTAGAAAGAAACAGAGCAGAGATCAAATCCTTGTACTTGCAGAGACCCCAGACATTCCCTCCTGAGAGGGTCAGCTCTCAGCCAGCTCCTCCCATGGCCAGGAGGGAGCAGGGTGGAGAAGTGAATCTGCT